TGTTAGGAAGCTCTGGGTCCTCCAGTATGACTCTTATGATCAACTTCCTCCAGGTCATAGAGTCATGCTGAAGGACTTAAGGATTCCTAAGGAGAATGCAGTTCTAGGAATCTGTATGTCCTCCAGTATCATCTGGCAGAAGTTATGCTGGAGAAATTAGATATTTCTAGAAACGTCTTTTCTCAGTTAAAAACAATAGTTTATTTGTACGTTCTCATTTTTTTGGGAATCCTATGCTTCCAACCTTGTTGAATGTGGAGGACTGATTGTAATCCTTTGACTGGCAGACAAATGCTTGGACATGATAAAGGTTATTGCCAAACCACTGGTGGGATGTCTTTCATTTACTACAATAAAAGAGAGTAGAGGGAAGGCAAGAGTGTGCCAGGTGAAACAACACCTTCTCTCTGTGGTAGGCCCAAGTCTTTTCATTAATCTCATTGGCAAACTTTACTAAGGGGTGAGGTAGAATTTGTGAGCCTTTTCCCATCTGCTGCTCTCCTCTCAATTTCTGTCACAGTCTGGAATCAATACCAGCTAAGGACAGGCAAGCCCAGAGTGAGGATATGTGCAGAGCAACTGTTTCCACACCACAACCTGACTACAGCTGCTTAGCTATCAATCCCAGAGCTTGGAAAAAATACGTCGGTCAACATGCTGACTGAAGGATGCTGACACTTGCCCAAAATTAACATCTCGAGCTCTGGTAAAGTCATCCATCCCATCCAACCATTTGGAATTGATCTGTGCAGTAGAACATCTATGCGATTGTGTGGCTTCACCTTAATTTTCCCATAGTTTGTTGATCAAATATAACTCAAGAAAACATATGCTGAGCAGACTAGAGGACAGCATCCTCCCCCTCCCTGGAGACTTTGAAGGGCCACACATACCTGTAAAATAATTCACCCCCCAGATACCTCCCTGGAGTGTGTGGCCATTTGGATATGATGTCATATTGAGAAGGGGGGAGGTTTGTTAGGCTTGTTTTCTGCTGCTCTGGAGACTAGAACACAGAGCAATGGATTCAAATTGCAGGAAGATATTTCACCTAAACATTAGGAGGAACTCCCTGATGGTAAGAGCTGTTCGGCAGTGGAATATGCTGTTTGGGAGCATGATAGAGTCAGAGGAGTGCTTTGACTGTGTATTACTGCGTGGCAGGAACGATTGGACTGGATGACACTTGGAGTTTCTTCCACTTACAATTCTATGATCTGGAAGTGGCTTGTAGTTTTTTAAAAGTCATCTTATGTTGCCCAAGGAGGAAAAAAGTGATGGAAATGTGTGTGTGAGACCCTTGGGGCCAGCCTTGTCTTAAAGACTGCAGTATGAGGAGTTGGCAAATGTAAGGAAGACACTGGAATAAGCATGAGGCTTGAACTGGGGCACTGCAGAGGTTCATTCCTGTGTATGATACAAAATGGCTTCTATTGTTGAGAGAAGCAATGAAAAGTGGATGCTTCCTCTAGAAACCCCTAGAATATTGTTGTCCCAGAAAGGAAGCAATAGGTGGTTAAAATCTGCTGGTTGAACTGTTGAGTGATCAGTACTCAAATCAATGTATGTATTTTAATGTGTTCCAGGACTTTGCGTTTGCTACAGTCAGTGGCTTAATGGGTCGTGGATCTGTGCTTACAATGCAGATCTGCCTGACTTGGACATAACCTAAGAGAATGTAAGAACTAAAAGGGTACAGAGATGAGGATGCACACTGCTTTTTCTCTGCCCCTGTCCAGTTGGGAAGGCGTTTTTATCCCATTTTAACTTTGACCTACTTAATTCACATTTACCAAATCAATATGCAAACATGCAGTTTTCCTTTAGTATCAGACTTCTCTGGATTTTTGGAGGGCAGTTCTCTTGAGGAAAAGGAGAGGGAAGCACACAGGAAAAACTCATATCTATAACCCCCCCCCCTTTTTTTTTTTTTACAAAACTTCAATGTGTTTAAGGAAAAAAATATATAAAAATGTGTATGTATTGCAAAAAAAGTGACTAAAAGTGACTATAAAATAGCTGCATTGATGCATTTCTCCTAGCTGTTTTTGTTTGTGAAAATGAAAAGCTGTATGGGAGGAGGTCATTGTTTATGGCTCTTTAGGTGGCAATATCTAAAATGCTTACTGTGAAGATTAGGTTTTGTATCAATTCTTCAAAAAGGTATGTGTCTGGGGGCCTAAAATGTCCTATCTACCTGAATGCAGGTCAGTTCATCTATGCTTTTTAAAAAGCCGTTATGTGATTTCTTCCCCTCTCTTCTATGAGTTCTTGTATTTTAAGTGATGGGGGATTTTTTAACTGTTATTTATTTTTTCATCATAAGCACCCATAAATATTTGGAGAACAGGAAGAACATAAACAAAACAAAAATAATAATCCTTTGCCCTGCCTTTTAAACAAATCCCAAATGAATGTGCAAATAGATGAACTAGTTGGGGAGGGGGGATAGAAACTGCCCACCCCCCACCCCAAATCCATGGCCTAATTATCTGAAGAGTGTGTTTTTCTTTCTTGGCTCAGCTTGGAGAAAAGGGTCAGGATGAGATTAGGGAAGAGGCTGTGAAGGGGCAAATGGAAGCACAGAATGTGTTCATTGCCCTCCTGTTGATATCACTGTGAGCAGCTTTCTTTATGTATGACATGAAACAAAAAAACTTAAAGCAGAGGCAAAAAACGCGTAGACCTTGACCTGTTGCCAGGTTGCAACTCCCATCAGCTCTAGTCAGTGTTGAGGGATGCTGAGTGTTGCAGGCTAACATCGTGTAGATACAGGGAGACTAAGGTGTACCTCCCTCATAAAATGCAAGCAAGCCAGATTAATCACCAAGGTTTGTGAGCTGAGCACAGATCTGAACCACTCTTTAATCCTAATTCAGCAGTGACATTATATTATTATTGGAGATTATTGCCCTCATTTCTTGGTGTTTAAAAACCTGCCTAGGCCGAGGTTTCTTTTGTGGCCACTGCCTGGAGAGAATAAAGTTGGACCAAAATAGATTATTTATGTTATTATCATAGTCAGATTTATGTTATAATATTAGATATAATTTAAATTAATTTTAAATGACTTGTTTGTTTGTTTAATTTGATTTGATATGTGCGTGCAAACTTGATTTATGTGCGTTTTAAAGTGATATACATTTACTTTTTTGAGATTTGGGCGGTCTGTTAATCTACTTGTATTTGCTATGCTTATTGTATAGGCATTGAAAGTTTGCCATCTGTTGTTGGAACCTGCCCTGAGTTCCCCTGGGGCAATAGGGCGGAATAAAAATAAAGTTGTTGTTTTTGTTGTTGTTATTACCTGCTCTAAACTTTCATACATTGGATTGCTCTGTGAGATTGTGCTTGGGACGTCTCTACACTAGGAAAATCACATGTGTTTTTTTTTTTTATTTTTCAAATCACACCTATACAATATTCCCTTTTATTCTAACAGTACAGTGAATTTTATTCATCTAAGTCTTTGCTTCTAGAAGCTATGCCCTGGAGTTTGGGTGGTGGTTATTTCTCCATTCATTTAGATTATTTATTTTTTCATTCCAGTTTTTGTGATATGATTCCAATAGGCAAATGGCACAGATATAAGGGGGGGTATCTATACAGAGCAAGATGTTTTCTTAGCAAATTGGGTGGCAGCGGCCAAGCCCTAAAAATCAAGGCTACAGTCCATCTTAAGTCCATAGATATCAGTGAGCTTAAGGATGATATTATTTACTTAGTGCACTCTTTCCTGTGTCAAAGTTAACTGCAAGAGTATTCTGTTATTGTTGTTTAAAACAACAAGATTGGGTTTTGTTTTTGTTTTTTTACTAAAAGACTGGCGCATTCTTCTGCTTTGAGAGGATTTTGGGTTTGAGGAAGAAGGTGTGGGCCACTGAAATTTGTTGAGAACAGTAACAAACATGAAAAAGCAGAAGGATAAACACCAGTGACCATGTTACATTGAATCAAAAAAGTAGTCTAGCCATGTGTGACTTTTAAACAAATGTAGCCTTCAATCCAGTTGTTGCTTCTTACTAGAGTAATCCTACTGAATCAGTTGGTACATGGTTAAGTCAACACATAACTAATTTCATTAATTGATTAGTCCTTGTCTGCTTGGGACAAAGCTAAATTTCAACTTCTCTTTTTTAAAAATGACATTATCCTTTTCCAACCATGCATTAATGAAAGAACTGATTAGAGGCCTGCCTCTTAACTGGAGGATTTGTTGGTGTTATTGTTAAATCAAATTTCAAGCCACCAAAATGGAGATAAAATTCCAAATCATGAAAAATCTGATTGTCAGTGCCACTGTTGCTGCAATCAGGCCTATGAAAATCACTCTCCCGAAGCTCCTGTTTGTTTTAACAAAAAAGTCTCATAAGTATTGACTGTTCTGTAAAATGGTGTGAGGGGGAAGCCAACCCAGACATTTGTGCTGTAAGTTGTGGTTTGACACCAGGATATAGATAGGTGTCACCCTTCACGCAAATAGGCAAGTGAACAGAGTGTAGTCTTCTTCCAGATTCTATGCAGAAACTAAAGGAAAGCGGATTTTTAAAGATATGCAGAACTGATTGTGCCCTCTCATCAACCTAAGTTTTGCTAGTGTTAACAGGGCAAGCTACAATGTTTGCTTGCATAGTTGCACATACTGTTTTAATCCTCTTTGCAGTTATAAGGCCGTATACTTTCTGAACACTTTGGATGATTTGTTTAAAAACACCAAATTCAGTGCTTTTTCTGCCCTCCTGTGGAATTGCACAACATATAAAGCCTTGCCTAGAGCTGAAATTTCCACAGGACTTTCTCAGCAATTATGAGCACTAAACACAGATTGCAAATATAAATACATGCTTGGATTCTTGGTGGTGTTGCCCAAGCTCTGTATTCTGGAGCTTTCCTGTGTGTGTCTTTTGATTTTTCTTCCCTCTCCCCCTTTATGATGTTGTTTGAGCTCTTGCTGGAACATCTTTGCTCATGTCTATGTGTGTGTGTCCCTCTCTTTCCAGAACAAAGTCGCCGTGATGATTTGGAGAGCTTGGGCTATGTGCTGATGTACTTCAACCTTGGCTCACTGCCTTGGCAAGGTCTGAAGGCTGCTACTAAGCGCCAGAAATATGAGCGCATCAGTGAGAAAAAGATGTCAACGCCCATCGAGGTGCTCTGCAAAGGCTACCCATGTAAGATTTTTGAGCACTTTTGTATGTGCCAGTATGTGTTTGAGGTCTTCTGCATGCATTCTTACTGGCCTTGCAGCTCCTAGTGAAAGCAATGTTTCTAAGTTCTGCACATTTCAGTTCCTCTTAAACACTTCATCTGCGTATATCATAAAATGACTCAGATTTATAGTCTTAATTGTCACAGATGCTGTGTGACCCTGCTGTGAACGTAGGAACCAGGAAAAAATGTTGTTTGCCCTTCAAATGCAAAACACTGGATCAACAATTGTATTTTTTTTCCAACAAACACTGCCTCTAGTGGCCATCTAAAGACTGTAACTGTGAAAGCACTGCAAGCCGCCTAAGTCCTTTTGGGAGATGGCGTAAATAAAGTTGTTGTTGTTGTTAAACTATTGCAAAAATTACTGAATGTTGACTTACCCTAGGCAAGTGAGTAAAAGGCAAAAGTTTAAACTAAAAATATCAAATTACATCATCCCTCTTCTCCAACAAAATGCTTTTTCAGCCATTTAGAATTTTATCCAGAACTCATATATTCAATGCAGGACCTGCTCTTCCATCCTTTGTTGAAATAAAACTAAATTAAAATCAACCAAATTATTGAATTATTACAAAAACACAACATAGGCTTCTGCATTTTTATAATTTCCAGTTTTCTACAGTGCTCTGTTGGATGAGCAGCAGTAAGATTCCCTTTAACAGACTAGCAAATGACTTGTCAACTAGCTGGCTCAAGGCTGTCCAGAGATTTACCACTATTTAAATGTGGTTTAATAGAACCAGACACTTAAATCCTTTCTATCAAGATCAGCACCATGGGTCCTCTTTTTCATCATACACCTCCCTGACATTCCATCAAGCAGGGTCATGTTCTGTATGATTTATGCATCATGTTCTGCATAATTCAGCACCTCCTCCCAACTGTCCCCAAAAGCCACTCAGCTGTTGTCTACATCCCTGCCCTCCCACTTAGCAGATGTTGCCACCTCCTCCAGTCCATTCCCCCCTTTAACACTTAGAAATTGCCCCGAGGTTTTCTGGGAAATGAAAGATGGCTGTGCTTCACTTCACAGCACACCCAGCCTAAAAGAAGAAGGGGGAAAATGGGTGGGTGCAGCAAGCTTGTGAGTGCCACAGTGGTGAAGACAGCTGCATATTTTTATACTTATGTCATAAGTAAATGCAATGCATTTTCAGTATCACTTGCATGTACTTAATAACATAAAACTCAGAGTAAGATAACTAGTCCTTCTATTATGGTACCATTTTGAACCCCTTTTTTCTATGAAAATGAAGAGGAGCATTGCTATCAGAGGGGTGGCATAACAGTCTGGGTGCAGTATTTTTTCTGTGTATTTGAGTAAACTTATTTCTGAATTGTGTGTTTGGAGTACTTTTTTATGGGCTGGAGCAACAAAAAAAAACACAACAACAAAGGAGGATATTTGTATGAAAGTTACCATTTCAGATGAGGCTTCAATACCCAAGCCAACAACATAAGCCTTCTCCTGACCATGCAAATATATCGAGGGTACTACAACTTTATGATCCCATCCTACTTAGTCTCTGATGGTTGACAGGCCAAAACAAGTCTCAAAAGAAGAACACAATAGTGAGATGGACTTCTGTGGGGGGGTTTTTCTTACTGTCCTCCTCATTACTTTTTGACCTTAGTTTGAAAATTAACTAAATGCAGAGTGAACATGGTGAGTGATGGGCCAACTTTAGTGCTCAGAATGAGCATACATACACCATGCTGCTCTAGAGTCTTTATTTATAATTTTATAAATTCTGAGGATTTATAAAAGGGAGCCTTACATAAGGCAATGGAAAGATTATCAGTGCCTTTTTTGGATGGTGTTGTTCTAAGATAAATCCTTTGCCTTCTCTTCTCCTAGCTGAGTTCTCTACATACCTCAACTTCTGCCGCTCATTGCGATTTGACGACAAACCAGACTACTCTTATCTGAGGCAACTGTTTCGCAACCTCTTCCACCGCCAGGGTTTCTCCTATGACTATGTGTTTGACTGGAACATGCTTAAATTTGTAAGTAACTCTAACTTGCATTTTGGCTTATGGTGGAGTATGGAATAGATCTTGACCAGTCTTGAAAACTAAACAGATTCAGGCTTGGTTAATACTTGAAATGAAGACCATTCGAAAATACCAGGAGCTGTAAACTATATTCAGGGGAAGGCAGTGACAAATCTGCTTGAATAAATCTGGCTAAGAAAACACTCATAGTGTCACTATAAGTCACAATTAATTTGAAGGTATAGCAACAGCAAATGTACGTACTAATAAGCTTTAATCCTGGCTACTATGTGGAATGCTCTTCCATTAGAACTTAACATGCTTCAAACATGATTCGTTTTCATTTTATGTTGAAACATGTTTCCTGTTTATTCCAATGTGGCAACTGTTTCTTGGGCTGCATCAAGAATGTGGCCCAAGTAGTTCATTCTTAGTACTGAAATGTGTGTTCCTACATATCTGCAGTTGCTTTGTGCAATAAGAAATTTTTAATCTGGTGTAGAATTCCATATCCTCCAGTCTTAACTTCTGTATTTTCCTCATAAAAAGCTGTTTAGAACGCTTTATGGCAGTATAAAGAAACTTGAGAAAAAACTGCATAAAATCACAGGCGCAGACTGAATACTGCATTTCCAGCACTACTGTGCTCTGCATGGTTGTCTCTTAGGCAATGACAAAACTTTGAAATGTTACTTTCTCAGATCAACTCCCATGATCCATACCAATGGAAAATCTAGGAACATTTTCAAACTGGACTGAATTTGGCAGCTTTGTGATAGAACAGTTCAAGAAATACCATCGTAGCTTGGTCCAAAAGAAGAACCAAATTTTCTAAAATACTGTGTTATTTTATTTGAACATGTTCCAAGAACTTGTCAATCATCCAAAAGAGTTTTTGTACTTTATGACCAGTGAAATGGAAGGTAATGGAGATCTAGTACTCATTACAGGTCTGCACAACCCGCGGCCATCCAGGTGTTTGAGGCTCCAACTCCCCGAAGCCCTAGCCAGTTTTTTCAGCGGTCAGGAATTCGGGGAGCTCAAGTCCAAAACCCCTGTAAGGCCATAGGTTGTACAGGCCTCACTTTTGGTCCAACCTTTTAGCCCAATACACACACCCTTTTCTATCAAATACTACTGTTGATGTTACAGTTACACCATCTTTATTTGTATCCCTTTGCCCCAAGATCGAAATCCAAGTCAGCTTGCAAATTAAACTCTTCTGCAGGATTCAGCATGTGTTATTCTAGGAAGTGTTTTTCCTCCATTTCTTACTATTGCAGTTTATAGGAATGTGGTGGTTGGTCCCTTTTTATTTGCTAAAGCCTAAATGACTTGGGGGGGCATTTGATGTTCAGGGAGCGGCCCGGAATCCCGAAGACATGGATCGGGAGCGGCGAGAGCATGAGAGAGAGGAGCGGATGGGGCAGCTCCGGGGTTCTGCCACACGGGCACTGCCCCCTGGGCCTCCTGCCGGAGCCACAGCTAACCGCCTCCGCAATGTCGCTGAGCCCATGGCGTCTACACCCACCTCCCGCATCCAGCAGTCTGGTGAGTCAGATATTATTATTATTATTATTATTATTATTATTATATTTATATTTATACCTTGCTTTATCTCCCTGAAGGGGACTCAAGGTGGCTTAACATGAAACCATCATTTTAATGACTACTGTTTCAATTATTTATGTTATGTTTTTAACAGTTTGTATAATTAAGGCATTGAATGTTTTGCCTGAATATATGATGTATGCTGCTCTGAGTTCCCTGCAGGGTGAGGAGAAGCGGGATATAAATGAAGTAAATAAATAAATCAGCATAAGCATTTAAAATACACAAATATGCGAACATGAAAACTGGAATTGGGCTCAGAAACAGACTGTCAGCCAGTGGACCTGCTGCAAGAGGAGTGTTGTCTGCTCTCTGTAGCCAGCCCCAGTTAGCTGAAGTTTCCAAGCCATGTAAAGCATGTTACAGTAATCCAGACCAAACGTAACTAAGGCATGTACCACCATGGCCAGATCTGGCTTCTCAAAGAATGGGAACAGTTAGCATACAAATTTTAATTGTGCAAAGGCCCTCCTGTCCACTGCCGATATCTGGGCCTCCAGGTTCAATGCTGATTCTAGGAGGGGCTCCAAACTGAGCCTGTCTTCAGGAAGAGTGTGACCCCCATCCAGCACAGGCTGAATTCCGATTCCGTAATTTGTCTTCCAACTGACCAGTAGTACCTCTGTCTTGTCTGGATTAAGTTTCAATTTGTTTGCCCTCATCAGTCCATTACTGATGACAGGCACTGGTTTAGAGTCAGGGCAGCTTCCTTTGTATTAGGTGGAAAGGAGCAGTAGAGCAGGGTGTTATCTGCATATAGGTGACACCATACTTAAAAACTCGGGATGACCTCTCCCAGCGGTTTCATGTATATGTTAAACAACATGGGGGACAAAATGGAACCCAGAGGAATCCCACAAGTCAACGGCCAAGGGTTCCAACAGGAGTCCCCCAGCACCACTTTCTGGGTATGGTCCTCCAGGAAGGATCGGAGTCACTGTAAGACAGCACTTCCCAATCCCATCCTGGTAAGATTACCCAGAAGGATACCTTGGTTAATGGTATCGAAAGCTGATATGCCACCCTCCCAGTGGAGTATCAGGCCAAGGAAAAACCAAATATCTAGATGCATATTTCTTTCCCAACTAAAATAAAGCCTGAATATAAGTAACTACGTTTGTTGGTTGTTGTGCTGGCTATATCATTCGTTAGCTACATTTCTCCCTCACATTTTCTCCAGTAATCTCAAAGTGATGAATGTAACTCCACTCCTGACCACCTTAGCCACACAGCCTTATGAGAAAGGTCAGACTGAAAGTGCCACCAAGGTCAAGTCATGACCGTTATGGTTGAACCTGATTCCCCACTGTTAGATATAGATTGTAATCTCTTAAGTTCCACTGGCATTCATTCTTCTCCTCTTTCACTTACTGTATTCCTTCGACTGTAAGGCGCCATCGATTGTAAGGTGCAGCCCATTTTGTGACATAATCATATAGAGAAGAGTATGTCTTAGAATTGAAGAAATTCAGTATATTGCTTATGTTATAAATACATATCCTCGCTTTTCAGGAAACACTTCCCCTCGAGCAATTTCACGAGTGGACAGGGAGCGGAAGGTCAGCATGAGGTTACACCGAGGAGCCCCTGCCAACATCTCCTCCTCTGACCTCACAGGACGGCAAGAGGTGTCACGAATTTCAGCATCACAGGTAGGTTCCTATTGAAATTTATTGACTTGGGACTGCTTGCATTATTTGGCATCCATTAGAGCAGGCATGGGCAAACTTTGGCCCTCTGGGTGTTTTGGACTTCAACTCCCACAATTCCTAACAGCCTATCGGCTGTTAGGAATTGTGGGAGTAGTGGAAGTCCAAAACACCTGGAGGGCCAAAGTTTGCCCATGCCTGCTCTAGTGGATGCCAAATTGGTTCTATGAGGGGCTCCTTTAACGTAATCTTTGCTGAAAATTATAGCCATTACATCGTTGCATAAAATGGTAGAAATTACTAAATTCCACTTACAGTATGTATAATTACAAATCCTGCCAAACCAGCCTAACAACTAGGACAGCTGTGCTTCAGTACTTTTCAGAATATGAAACAGTTTTAGTCAGAATCCTTGTGTGAAATGTGTTCTCGTGAATGGCAGCCCCTTCCCCAAATATTTTCAACAGAAAGCACCATGGCTACCAGTCGGTGTTCCTGCCAAAATTTGTAATGGGATTTTAAAGATTAATAATATTACCTTGAAGTCATCAGATAGTCATCATTGTTGTACTGTGGATTTTTGCACTTTTGTCTGCTCGCATCAGCAGAAGGCAAACTTGCTAATCCCCTTCCAAGGTAGCCCTATTTCAGTAATCTGACTTTGAGTTTATTTGGATTATGTCCAAAATGTATTTAGCTGTGCTTGGAACCACTACCTATATTATACTCAAATATAATTAATTTAAATGTATAGTGTCTAGAACAGTGGTTCTCAACCTTTGGTTCCCCAGGTGTTTTGGCCTACAATTCACAGAAATCCCAGCCAGTTTACCAGCTGTAGGGTTTCTGGGAGTTGAAGGCCAAGACATCTAGGGATCCACAGGTTGAGAACCACTGTTCTAGAACAAGGAAGGTAATAGTACTGTTCTATTCTGCTTTGGTCAGACCTCACCTGGAATACTGTGTCTAGCTTTGGGCACATAATTCAGGAAAGGTACTGACAAGATTGAACGTATCCATATGCAGATGACCAAAATGATCAAAGGTCTGGAAACCAAGCCCTATGGGGAGTGGCTAAGAACAAGTGCATAATAATAATAATAATAATAATAATAATAATAATAATAATAATAATAATAACAACAACAACAACCACCTTTATTTATACCCCGCTACCATCTCCCACAGGACTCGGTGCGGCTTACAAGAGGCTGAGCCCAGAATACATCAGAACAAAAAACACAACCACAACAATACAACACAACAATAAATAACTCATAGCAAAGCAAAAACAATAACAAAATATCACGACGCAATTTAAAAACCTGGCAGGGCCAAATGTAAAGATTAATTTTTTTAAAATGCTGGGATGATCAGGTGAAAAAGGATGGATATTTTGGGGGGTAAGTGGGTGTGCAGACAATTCTAAATCTCTCATAAATTGCATTTGGGACATATTGCTTGGGATTCCTTAATCTGGGAAGGCACACTTAAATGCATGTTTTCCAGAGTGTCACATATCAGGAGGATGTCCCCATCTTTGCCTGATTAGGTTCACAATCTGAAGAACCTGGAAGTAGCTGTAGCTAAGAGTCCATTCTAACCATTTGTATTGCTCCAGTAATTCCAGCAGGAGACAGAACATAGTCCTCCATTTTTAATTGATGTATGGATGGGTGTACATTTGGCCTATAACATTTGGATTCGGGCACATACTGTCTTGAACTACAACTCTCGAGAATTTCCCAGCCTGCATGGCCAGTAGCCATTCTTCCTGAGGGATTCAGAGATGCAATACAGAAATAACATTTCTGCACTCGGGGAAGTTCTTGGACTGTAGTTGTTTTCCCTCATGCAGTTTGTCCTTCCTATGGTTGTCTTCGACATCCTACTCACTTCTATGACTGTTCATTTTCAGACAAGTGTGCCATTTGATCACCTGGGGAAATGAAAAGTGGATTCCACCGGACCAGTGTTTGCTTAGGTGAGTGTCTGCCTTGTTGTTTTTATTTTATTTTATTTTAGAGCAGAATTACAAGTTTGCTGAGCTAGGTATATCAGCATTCTGCCTTTCTTCATTTACTGCAAGAATAGCTTCTTATAGTTGGGGAAATAGGATAGACAGTGATTAAAAACCTGTGATATATGGTTCAAACAGATTATTTCTTGGCTGGAAAAAGATTTTGTCATGTTTCAGACCAAACCCATGTTCCAGAACAATGTCCTACAGCATTGGATGTAACTACTTCAGACTAGTGTGCAATGATATAGCAAACTTTACAGTACTGTATAGGACTTTGAAAACATGAAGCCCTAGGCATATTAAGAGCTGTTCAGCTGTGGATCTCTCTGCCCTGGAGTGTGGTGGAGGCCTCATTCTTTGGAGGCTTTTAAATAGAGACTGGATGGCCATCTGTCAGGGGTGCTTTTAATGTGATTTTCCTACTTCTTGACAGAATGGGGTTGGACTGGATGGCCCACGAGGTCTCTTCCAATTCTATGATTCTAAGATATCTGTTAGGGCAGCAGTTGTCAACCCTGTTTTTACCCAGCACCCCTTTAAATGTCTTTTGTTGCCATGGACCCCTTAACATTTAAAATCTTACAAGTGTGTTTAATGTTGATTTAAAGTTTCTCATTAAGGGTCTTCCAAACTCTCCTGTTACAATACTTTAATTAGAACAATTCCATACAAATTCTGCCCATTTCCTTCACAGTCACAGATACTTAATGCAGATGTCTTTGCTTTCATGTGTTTGCATATTTTGTTCTAAATCAAGTTACTATTCCCCTTTTTCCCCAAAGAGAAAAGAAAAATAGGTGGGGAAAACCTCCATATAAAATCGGAGTACCTTCTGTTTTAATTATTATTTCCTTGACATGTGGAGTTAGTCTTCTCAGAAAAGAAAAGAACCCCCTCCCTTCCTCTTGGCCCATCTGACATATCCAGCATTTAGAAGACAAGCATCTTTAACTTGTTCTGGTTGCTTTCCAACATGTAAAATAGTGCCTGCCTTTCTTGCCAATATATTCTGAAGCTGACAGCGAGAAATAGGGAGCACTCTAAATACTGTTATGCGTTTTAATTCTAAAACTGTTTAATGTCATAATCTGTAGTCATTTTCTCTTGTGCAACCAACATTAAAGGTATAGAAGTTTTACAACTGCAATTGCACAAGTACTGTATATACTTATGTATAAATCTGAAAACTAGGTGCCCCCAGAGGCACAATGGCTTAAATCCTTGTGCCGGCAGAATTGTTGACCAAAAAATCGGTGGTTCAAATCAGGGGAGCGGGGTGAGCTCCTGTCTGTCAGCTCCAGCTTTTCATGCGGGGATATGAGAAAAACCTCTCACGGGATGGTAAAAACATTCGGGCGTTTCCTGGGCAATGTCCTTGCAAGCAGCAAATTCTCTCATACCAGAAGCAACTTGCAGTTTTTCAAGTCACTCCTGACACGAAGAAAAAAAATCTGATAACTGGGTCAACTTATCCAAAGGGCAGTGGAATGACTGTACCTTAATTCTTGTCTTGATTTTAGTATTGTTAGCAGCAATTAGTTTCTTTTTAAGAGAGAAAAGGCCCACTGGTGGCACAGCGGGTTAAACTGCTGAGCTTGCTGACCGAAAGGTCAGTGGTTTGAATCCAGGGAGCAGGGTGAGCTCCTGATGGTTAGCCCATCTCCTGCCAACCTAGCAGTTTGAAAACATGCAAATGTGAGTAGGTGAATAAGTACCACTTCCGTGGGAAGGTAACAACATTCCTTGCAATCATGCTGGCCACATGACCTAGGAGGTGTCTGTGGACAAAGCTGACTCATCAGCTTAGAAATGGAGATGAGCACCACCCCCAGAGTCAGACATAAGTAGACTTAATGTCAAGGGGAAACTTTTAGCTTTACTAGCAGCAATGAGTTTCTTTTTAAGAGAAAAGACAGAATATAAATTATTATTATTATTATTATTATTATTAACCATCCCTTCTCAGAGTAGAGAGGCAAAAGGCCTTTTTGAATGCCTGGGCAAGAAAATGGTGGCAGCCAGGGGCAGCCCCCACCCTAAGATGGTGCTGGAAGTTTCTTTCTTCTATGAAATGACCCACAACTTATCCACAATCATTTCAAACTCCATAATGTGCCTTCTGTTTATATATGAGATGGACTTCTAACACAAGTATATGCATTTTTCATACTTTAGCAATAAAACTTCCACTGTCCTGATATTGTAAAGGGAAAGTAATTAACCATATTCTTTCTTTCCTTTCTTTTCTAGTGTCTTCACTGTATTTTTCTTTTGAAAAACAAAATAACAAAAAAACCAATTAAAAAAAGAAAAAACCGACAAAAAAAACCCAACTTTTTTTCCCGCCAGCCACAAGGAGGGGACCTGCCCTGTGCTGGCGTCCATGTCTTTTCTGAGATCGCCGACTGCGTTCCCGAGCCCAATTGCCTTCAACAAGTCACCAACGCAGGAGCCTTGCAAGAAAAAATTTAAAAACCACCTCTGCTGCTATGATGCAGCTTCGTCTCATAGGCCTTGCCCCCATCTCACGCCAGCAGGCCATGGCCAGCCGACCCTGCTTTCCACTTCCCCTTCCCTTGTTTGTTTGTTTGTTTTCTCCGGATCTGTTTTGTATCATTCAAAACAAAAGACTAATTCCCTGATTCCGTGGGTTTGTTTGTTTTTTAGGTTCAGTTTGTCAAAGATGGAACGGTTTCCGGTATAATTTTTAAATTATTTGGGGCAGGGATGGGGGGGGAAAAAGGGTTACCGAAGACTTTAAAATTCCAGCCCTGAATAGGTGGCTTGACATTCATTTCCGAATGGACGCTAACTGCAGGCGCTCGCTAATGAAGGAAAAAAATGGCGGAAGGAGCCTACTGTGTGTGTCTTCAGGCTTTCTTTCCCTAGAGGACACCGCTGCCCCACTGCATGCATTCATGGGCCAGTTGGCATGCCACCGGCATACCAATAAGGCAGACAATAGTGGCATCACGGCAGTTGTGTGCCCTATGGGTGAAGGATATGTGCTGCGCAAGGCAGGAGCAAATGTGAAGGACATGGAAATGTAAACCTGCTTCTCTGGCAGGAAGTGTGTGTGCAGGGGTTTCTCTCTTGAAAACAAACCCCTGTTTGTGTGTGTTTAGTTTTATATATTTCTTTTATTTTCTCTTTTTTTACTTCCCCGGGGAGACGGGGAAGATGTTGATGAAAAGGGAGGGGGGTATGTCAAATGGGAGCGGGGAGAGTAGTTTTTGTTGCAGAGGTTGTTCCTGGCATCACCCATTTTTTGAAGGACGACCCAGCCTCAGACGCACAACCTCCCTCAGTGAAAGGTTTCTCCCACCTTCCTTTCTTATCCCATGTATTGCTTTGAAAATTTAGGGGTTTTTTTTTAAAAAAAAAGCTTGAGAAAATCATCTTGGGTTGTACATTGGAGCAGTCGTCACCACGCCCTCCAGCCTCTAACTTGGCACATTTTTTTTAACGATACGTTGGACAGTATGGAACCATTGGAAGCGGGTGGGGCTTGGCTTTTTGGTTCTTTTTATTCTTTCTATTTAACACACAGCTCTTTTTTTCTGTTTTGTTTTGTTTTTTCCCCCTAATTTATTTACCCTGCTGACTGTCTCCCCCTCTCTCTCCTTTTTTTTAATTAAAGTAAAATAAACTTTTTATTACTTTGTAATTTTAAAGAAAAACTGAAAAAAAAAACCTTGAAGAACTTTGGGGGGGATTTTGTACTTTTTTCCTGTGTAAATATTGGACTTTTTTGAGCTTTATTGTGGTTGTTAATTTGAAGTAATAAAGTAGAAAATGACAAAGTGATTGAAGCATCTGTCCCTTTTTTTCCCCTTCATCTTTCTCTCACCCCCATCACTACCAGTTCCTTGCCACCAATCTGGCAGGAAGTATAACATTACATATATCCTCCCGCTTGCTCTGTTTCCAAGTTCCAGGAAAAAGATTGACTGGGAAGAGAATGTACACCATTTGGACGACGCCTAAAAATAACGCTAACCTGGCCTTCAGATCTATCATTGATACTGGTCTGATAGAGGAAGAACTTTGTGAACACGCTGTCTGTGTTTTGAACTTAAGGAAAATATAATGTATGGAAGCTTCAGGGGGGCTTAAGATCTTTTAAAATTGATATTCAAAGTTGATAAAAATGCAAAGTGAATAAACATGAATTGAATGTATTGTCGAAGGCTTTCATGGCCGGAATCGCTGGGTTGTAGTGAGTTTTTTTGGGCTGTATGGCCATGTTCCAGAAGCATACAATTATTATTGTATTACACAGGAGACAAGATGGAACTTTCCCAATGTTTTCTTTTTATTAGATTTATGTTTCAGTATTTTGTGTTCACAAAGGACTTTTATCACATGAGGCTGGCAAACCAGCATTGAAACTGAACTGTCGCTTTTGGTAGTAGCCCCTATCACATGACACTGTGCACATGCCAATGACTGCCTGCCTCCTCCAAGCAATTAATCCATCAATATATTGTCGAAGGCGTTCATGGCCGGAATCACTGGGTTGTTGTAGGTTTTTCGGGCTATATGGCCATGTTCTAGAAGCATTCTCTCCTAACGTTTCGCCTGCATCTGTGGCTGGCATCCTCAGAGGTTGTGAGGCCTGTTGGAAACTATGAAAAAGCTCTAAATGTTAGACTGCAAGTTTCAGAAGCCCCAGCCAGCCAAACACAAAAGCAGGAATGTTAGGTAGGTAGGTATGCACTGCACCCAGGAGTGTCATCTCTGGTCTTCATTGCCGAGTGTTTTCTTGACTACAAACTACAGGGAGGGATCCATTGCCTACAATGATGTCATTCAGAATTAACAATCGGTTCCCATTTCTTGCTCTCTCTCCTTGCAAAGGATACAGTTCTTCTCAGTATTGAATCCTCTCATCTCCAATCTCTTTGTCTGCTCCAGCTCATTATCTCCTTTCTTTTGCCACTCCTGGCCCCCCTTAGGCAACCTCCATGTTTTTAAGAGTAAGATCTGGCAAACTTGTGCAAACTGGCTGAACGACACTACTGAGTGCTCATTTGAAGATGGTACAGATCATTTGGCAGCATTTAGTATTGGATCACAACTTCCATCAAGCTTCTGAAGCTGATCACTAAACATTGGATTACCCAATTCCAACATCTCACTGATGCCATTGTTGATTTGAGTTGGTATTCCTCTCCCACACCATGTCCATAGTGACTTGCTTAGTGCTGCTATTTGGTGGTTAGAGGAGATGAAGGGGACCTCTTCATCTTTGTCTACCCTGCTATAATATTTTTGTGTCACAATGAAGAGCCTTCCATGTGAGGACTTGTATACTATGAACCAGCCAGGCTGCAGAGGAAAAACATGGTCTCCTGGCTTCCAAAAGAGTTGTTCACCTGCTCTGGGGAACTGCCAGTTCTTTTCCTACTAAGGCATTTGCTGCAGCAACAAAATTACTTTCAGGGATTTCTAGAGTCCGATTGTGCTAAACTGAGGAGATCAGAACAAGACACTGCATGGGTGTATGCTGCAGAGAACAACTGCGGTTGCAACATTTGATGGAAATGCTGATTGTATAATGGGTGCTCCTTAAAGATGATCATGCACCACAGCTTGTGATCAGAGATTCATCCTATGGAAGTACTTTCCCTATCAGGAATTGAACCAGGATCTTCAATATACAAAGTGTATGCTCTTCCAGACCTATGGTTCCTTCTCTAGCAATGATGAAACGTGTCATGAGACGTGAACTCCTTTAAATATTTAGTTTGATTAAAACACGACTCTAGAAGCAGCAGACTTGAGTGAACATTTCACTTAGGTCTGAGCTCTATGTTTAAAAGATATGATAAGAGTTATTCGGCTGGAGAAAAGGTAATGTGCCAGACAATGTTCTGGCTATATCTTTGTAGAGGGCCCAGGTACATTTCAAGGCCAAATCTAGAAACTAGGCATGGTTAGGTTTGATTGGAACCTTCGTAATTCGGAATAAATTTGGAAAGATTTGCTTTTTGAAGTGATTTCGAAATTTTTAAGGAAACCGGAAGTCCTTTTGCCCTTCCGAAGCTTTTTCCGCCCTTTTCTGTTACGAAGCAGTAAGTGAGTCGAAAATGATTCAGCGGTTCCCCGCTTCTAGTCCCTGGCCATGGCACAAGCCTGAGAAGCCGTTTTAAACAAGAGTGGATGAATTTCCTCCCTCTCCACTCCCCTCGCTTCTGCCTCGAGCCTGGGAAGCGTTTTAAAGCAGAGTGGAAGGATTGACTGTCTGTTTCCAAAAAGGAAGAGAAGGACATTCAGCCTTCTCTGCCAAAGAGGTTTGTAAGACCATCAAAATATATGTTTTCTGATTATCTTTGGTGACCCCTCTGAAACCCCCTTGTGACTCCCCCCCCCATGGGTCCCAACCCCCAGGTTGAGAAACACTAGTCTAACAAGCTAGAAATGATGTTTTGTCACTTTTGCGCTGAACAGGAATAAAGTTTTCCCAGCTGTGTTTTTCATAATTTCCAAACTTCTAGTTTTAACACAGAATAAAGATTTCAAGGTCTGCTTTGGGCAGGACAACCTTTTCCTAGTTCTATTTCAGAAAGAAGAGAGAATCCAGGACATTTTAAAGGCCATTGAGAAAGTGGGACAACAAAGGATTAACTCGGGCCATGCTTTTCAAACTAGGACAGTGGGAGAGACAGCTATGCATTGGTCTGCCCTCAGGCCAAGAAGGAAATTGCAATCTGGCTCTAGCCATATAGGGTTTGATGTCAGAAAGGGAGCAAAACGGGAAAAATAAAGATGGGGGAAAACCACAAAGCACCCATCCTGGTTCCTGAGACAGCTATGATTTCCTTGCATAGACTGTTCTCCTGAGCCATGTCACTGCAAAGCAGTGAGGAACACACAATAAAAAAGCAAATGGTGGTGATGGAGTGATTTCACCCTGAGATATTTTCCCTTGCAATGTGTACCTTCAAGCTGCTTGACAACTTATATTGTATTATAGGGTTTTCTTAGGCAAATATTACTTGGGAATAGTTTTACTAATTCCTTCCTCTGAAATATAGCCTATAGAACCTGACTTTTTTTTTCACCAAGTGCCAAAGCTACTTTTCCCACCCAAGTATTAATCAGAGTCAACACTGGATTGTTGTGTGTTTTCCAGGCTTTATGGTCATGTTCTAGAAGCAGTCTCTCCTGACACTTTGCCTCCATCTATGGCAGGCATCCTCAGAGGTTGTGAGGTCTGACCTCACAACCTCTCAGGATGCCTGCCATAGATGCAGGCAAATGTCAGGAGAGAATGCTTCTGGAATATGTCCATACAGCCCAGAAAACACACAACAACCCAGTGATT